AGTTTTTCCGTCTATAATCACAGCTTTGGTTTTAACTATAGTTAATGATATGATGCACAGGGCAAGAACATAATCTTTTTATCTCTGTTGTTGAAGCACTGAAGATGAGTGATGCAAGAGTAATATTATTGTCTGCTCTTCACAATGTCATTCAGATTTTATCCAATTGCTACAATCCACCTGAGTCGCTTGTTGACCGGTTTAACTGGTAAGTTATTGGTGAGTGACATGGTGTCTAGTTGGTATGCATTTGATGACGTGTCAAATACATGCCATGCCATGCCATGTCACCTCACCAAAACTTACCGGTTGGTTAAACTGGGAATAGAGCAGTTGCCATGTCACCAAAACTTACCTTTATCTATGATTCTTGGATGGAACAGGTGACTAAGCATCCTGTTCTGTTCTGAACCTGTTTCCTAATAATTAATTATTCTCATCTTATTTCTTCATTTTTAACTCCTTAATTTATATAAATTTCATTCTTGTAAAACCAGGTGTCTATGCCATTTAACGACCGGTTTTTCCCTTTTCCCAGTGGAATTGGACAGAGGGTTTCTTCTTGCCTGTTTGATTCCACCATTTGTTTCCTGATTTCAGAATCTTGAGGTCTTATTAAATCCTTTTGGTTTTAATCTATTAACCAATATACTAGAGGCAGGAAGTTCCTTTGTTGCATTAAACTTACACTTTTATTGGGTTTGACCTATTTTTTTTTAATTTATTAGATTAGGGATTCTGTTATGGAATACTATAATTGCTAGCCTGCTGCTTCCCTCTTCTTTTCCCTTCTTGAAACAACGCTTCACTTAACTTCTCCTCTTCCGCCTTTTTTTTTCTTGAAATCGAAGCCTCACACCCCAAATATCAACTTATAAGCTCCAACCCCATTGAAGAGAAGACTTGAAATATTCTTTGGTTTGATCTCAGCTAATCAAACGTTCAGAATCTTGAAGCAAAGCAAAGAAATAACGAGTGATTTTCATCCCCTTTTTTCTTCGACATCTCTGCTTTCACCCAAATCGACGCCTCTCACAGGCGATGTCCATAGTAGACGGAGGGTTTCTTTGTGTTTGTCTGATTCCACTATTTGTTTCCCAATTTCACAATGTTGAGGTATTTTTGAACCTTGTTGGTTTTAATTTGTTATTTGGGAATGCAACAGGCTCATACAGACAAGTTGTAATTTTGTTTCTTTTCATCTTTTTTTTTTTGAAAGAGCTGTTTCTTTTCATCTTCTTGAGTAGGTGCGATATATGATAAGTTTACATTTTAACTTGTGCAGGCTTATGAAAGGGTTTAATGATTGGGATAATTCCAGTTACCTCCAAGGTATGTAACTCCATTGATTTATGTTTATTCTCAAAATCACTGTGGTTATTGGAATTCTTCTTTTCACTTCAATTCCCTTGCTATAGGTTTTGGAACCATGCGTAGGCAGTCTAGCATATTAACCACCTAATTCTTGGATTACTTGCTGAAAATACATGCAATGCCAAATCTCAATTCTCAAGTTTTCAATTGAAGTATGTTTGAATCTATGTATGTGTAGCACATGTACAATTGTGATTTTTTACCTATTCTCATGTTGGTTTTCCCTTTTAGATATTCTTCAAGAATCTTGATTTGGACATGAAGACAGGGTTAGGAAAATTGAAGGAAACCCTTATTTCTGTTGCTTCACCTCAACAAAATACTGTAAATCAAGGTGAATTACCACATATATTATACCAGGTTAATTTTGTTGTCTATATACGTTTTTGTTTTTAGAGTATTCAAGCTATTTAACTCTCTACTGTTCCTTTAGTTGAAGATATGAATATGTTTTTATTTTTCTCTTTTTATTTGCTAAAACTTATTGATCCTTTACTTTTGAAGGTGTCATTCACATTCTGTTAGTTCTTTTTTTTTAATCCTTCAATTTCTGGTGAGAAGTATATTCATACTAGCTTGAAATATGTCTTATATTACTAGCAAGGTTCATTGTTAAACATTTTCTGTTTTGTTCATGTGTGATTGATTGTGTATTATTTTCATTTTTCAGATAAGAAACTCTCAATACCATGGTTTGAATAATGCAAGTGAATCCCTTGAACATGCCTTCATTGAGAAGCTGATGTTATGGGTGTTTTAGGAATGTCCAAAAGGTATTTATTTGCTTATAATTTTCTGATAAGTGCTAATATTTATGTTGATGTCGAAAAAGATTCGTTCACTTTTCTCATTTGAGTCTAAGCAAAAAGACGGATCTTCATCTTCATCTTCATCTTCTTCTTCTTCAACTGGTTTTACGAGTTTTTCAAATTTCAAAAACATATACATAACAGGACATAGCAGTGGTGGTATAAACTTCTGGGATGCATCATCTCCACTTTTGATTCCAATTGTATCATTTAATCAACAAAGTGAAGATGATCAGACTTTAAGTGGTGTTCCACTGACTGCATTGTGTTATGATATGGAAACATGCCTCCTCATATCTGGAGATCAAACTGGAACAGTGAGTATCTATATATCATATTGTAAAAATATGTTACATTTCAATTTAAAATTAATATTTTATGTCACAGGTTAGAATTTATAAATTTAAACCTGAGCCATATGCCATAGAGAGCAGTTTTTTGTCCTTACAAGCAAGTTCAAAGAAAGGAAGCAATATTGTTCAAAGTGTTAAACTTGTGAAGGTGAATGGAGCAGTGGTTTCAATAACTACAAGTCATGACTCTAAACATATTGCTGTGGGTCAGATCAAGGATATGTAAGATATAATTTTTTTCCTTTTTTGCCCTTTTTGTAACTAAATTAACGTAAATTAAAAAATGATGAAGGTTTCGGTGATTGACATTGGAGGAGCAACTGTGTTATATGAAAGGCGAATAGCGAGTGAGATCTCGACAGCTGTCATCTCTCTGCAATTTGGGATGTGTAGTTTGCATGGATTTGAGAAAAGTGTGTTAATGGCAGCAACAAAGGATTCATCAGCTTGGGCACTTGAATGTGAAACAGGAAATATTCTCAATAATGGATCAGTTCATCCTAAAAAACCTTCTAAAGCTCTTTTAATCCAAATGTTAGGTAGTAAATAAATCATACTTTTTTTTGTTGTATTGTTCTTTATTTATATGTTACAAATGATATATAGATGAGCAAGGGACAGCTGGCAGAGGATCTAATGCATCTAAGGGTATAATAGGAAATTCGTTTGATGATGGGGTAGTGAAGGAGTCATTGCTACTATGTTCTGAGAAAGCTGTTTACGTGTATTCACTTTCACATGCTGTTCAGGTTAGATTTTAGAACTTGAAGAATTAATTTTCTTGACATATTTTATATACTCTTGTATACTCAATTTTAAATATAAAAATATATATATACAGGGAGTGAAGAAGGTTTGTTATAAAAAGAAGTTTAATTCCTCAATTTGTTGTTGGGCTTCAACATGTTGTTCTGATGCTGGCCTTGTTCTTGTTTTTACCAATGGGAAAATCGAAATTAGGGGAGTTAGATTTTGATTGAATAAAAAAGTCGATAAACACATGATTTTGATATTATTTACCTTTTTCAGATCCTTGCCTGAATTAACCCTTATGAAGGCAACATCCATAAGAGGCCTTGCACTTTCAACTTCAAAACCGAATTCTTTACCTGATAGTTCAATTTGTGCTTCACACAATGGTGATATTATCATGGTTTTAACTATTATATGATATGATATGATGCACAGGGGCAACAACATAATCTTTTATCTCTCTTGTTGAAGCACCGAAGATGAGTGTCTTATTGGAGGTGATGAAATACATAAACCAGTTTAGTTATCCAATCAGGTATTCCCACCACCCTCTTTTTCTATGTTCTGTACAAGTAATTGATTTCTCCCAAATCTATTTTTTTTTTTAAATTTTCTTTTATCTGCTACTCTCAAGAGGAGATTTACGTTGTTCGTTTGGTTTAGTTTTGCTTTAATAATTGTTAATGGAATTGTCTATTTACATTTGTTTGTTTGTAAAGTATTTATCATTCTGGGCAATGTTTCTCCAACTGACAGGTGTTCGATATGAATTTGGAGCAGCGATATTTTGGAGTCAAATTGTACGTTTTCGTGGTGAATTTGCCCTACACTTTCTTATACCCACAGGCAAGCTTTTCAGGTAACTTATCTATGCGTTTCTGTCCTTTCTTTTTTGTCCTTCAAAGTAAACAAGTGGAGTAAAGGCTTGAAGAGTTTTCTTTTCAGCTACTGTTGCTTATTTTTTAAAAGTTAATATCGTTTATTACTATATAAACATTTTTTACATCAGCATTCTAACTCAATTGTACGTTTTCATTGTATATGAATATTATTTGTTATGTATCTGTGTAGATTTTCTTATACATGAGCATAACAAATTTTAGATAAACGATTTAACCAATATCTTAAATTTTACATAGCATGTGGTCTTTTACTTCTCTTTTCAGGTAAATTACCATCACACCAAGTTACAATTATGTTCAAATGCTGTAAAATCACCAAATTCAATATGAAATTTGATGATTTATATATATTTATGTAGAGGCTGGTGGAATTCAGTAGTTCAATGTGACAATGAAGTTGACCCTATGAAGAAGAGAAGCTGAATCTGAATCTTGGTGATTTTTTCATATTATATTTTTATTGATGTAGCCATTGACCGATTTTAAAAGCATCTTTTTTTTTGTTTTTCAAAAGTTAACCAAAAGGAGGTGGGTCTCACACAAGAGGTTTCACAGAGAAGGAGATTATGAGAAATAGACAGAGAAGAAGGAGCATAACTGTATCACCGCTTAATAACCCATGTTCAATACGATGACGGTAACCAAATCCCATGGTGATGAAATCCGAAACTTCAATTAGCATCTACGATTCCAAAACCTCAAAATAGATGAGATCATTTGTATCCCCCAACACTCTAGCTGCCTCTCTCTCTCTCTCTCTCTCTCTATATATCTCCATGTGGAACTTACTTTCAGAAACTATCATCACCACAAGAAAAAAAAAACGTCACATTTTGGAAGACAGAAACAGGAGGATCAGTTTAAACTATGTCCCAGAAGAACATGGTATAACAGTAGTTTTTGCTTATGGTTTGATAATTGTATAAGTTGCAAACATCTTTACTTCAACTTGACTTACATCTTCTTCAGGCCATCAATTAGATGTAGCTCTGATGAAACTGTTGCTTCTCGTATGGCTACAAATGAAATTCAATTCTTTGATTTTTCAAAAGGCATGGTGCATAAGATTAGAATTCCTGGAATAGCTGCAGTAGAGCTTTCTAAGCAACCTGGATCCCATGATGCTGTATTTGTTCCAGAATCTAAGGTTCGTCATTCTAACTCAGTACTCACCTTGAATTCTTAGTAATCATTTTTTAAGAGCTTCCATTTCCACTTAATTGTTGATATAAGCTCATTTATCTTGATATATGCATGTACACAGGCTTCCCAAAGTGAACCCATTAGTACAAGAACTTTCTTCAGATGTTCAACAACTTAACATTGGAACCATGGTTCTACAAGGCTTCTGGTTGTGGTTCAATCAGATGTTGATAAAACTAACCAGAGTAGAGTTACTATGGAAAGTCAAAGCTGTATTATTTGACTTTAGATGAAACTCATTATGGGCTTCTGCCCTTACGTAACTTTATCTTTCTTTATACACTGAATGTAAGTGTGTAACATTTCATTTGATAATATTTTTTTTAATTATTAATTATTATAATTTTTGCAGGAAAAGAAGGACCTGTACATGATGTTCAATGGTCGTATTCAGGGGAAAGAATTTGCAATTGTTTATGGATGTATCCTTTTTTATTTTAAATTACATATGAATTAAATCTAAGATAATATAGGTAATAGTTTAGGGTTAATCTAAAAAAGACCTTATATTTTGTAGTTTTGCCTGAAAAAGACCTTTTATTTTTTTCATTTTTTCCGATCTGGCCCTGGTAGTTTTTTTTTTCAAAATTTTTTTAAAATGTAACGGTTTATTTGGAAACATTTAGAAGGATGAGGGTTTTTTTTCTGAAACAAAAAAAAAAATTCAAAGTTGAGGACTTTTTTGGAAAAAATGGAAAAATACAAGGTCTTTTTCAGGTATTTCCCTATTGTTCCTTTGGTTGAAGATATGAATATCCTTTTATTTTTCTCTTTTCATTTGCTGAAAAACTTATTGATCCTTTACTTTTGCAGGGTGCTTCCAATGGTAGTGGATAAGGCAAGGGTATTAAAGAGATATATGTATATACTATAAATATTATCGAGAAGAGTGTTTCAAGCAACAATGGCACTTGTTTTAAAGGTGTCATTCTCATTCAGTTAGTTTTTTTTTTTAATCCTCCAAATTCTGATGAGAAGCATATCCATACTAGCTTCAAATCTGTCTTATATTACTAGCAAGGTTCATTGTTAAACATTTTCTGTTTTGTTCATGTGTGATTGATTGTGTATTATTTTCGTTTTTCAGATAAGAAACTCTCAATACCATGGTTTGAATAATGCAAGTGAATCCTTTGAACATGCCATACAACGTGTTATTGATGACAACCTTGAGTTGGGATGTGGATCAACTGAGAAGCTACTGTTATGGGTGTTTTATGAATGTCCAAAAGGTAGCTATTTATTTGCTTATAATCATATGATAAATGCTAATATTATTAGGCTTTTAAAAACAAAAGCTGTGAATATATTTATTTAACTGTACAAGTTTTTCCGTCTATAATCACAGCTTTGGTTTTAACTATAGTTAATGATATGATGCACAGGGGCAAGAACATAATCTTTTTATCTCTGTTGTTGAAGCACTGAAGATGAGTGATGCAAGAGTAATATTATTGTCTGCTCTTCACAATGTCATTCAGATTTTATCCAATTGCTACAATCCACCTGAGTCGCTTGTTGACCGGTTTAACTGGTAAGTTATTGGTGAGTGACATGGTGTCTAGTTGGTATGCATTTGATGACGTGTCAAATACATGCCATGCCATGTCACCTCACCAAAACTTACCGGTTGATTAAACTGGGAATAGTGCATTTTTTCAGTGGAACCAAAACTCAATGATTAATTATTCTCATTTTATTTCTTCATTTTTAACTTTTTAATTTATCAATCTAACCATAATTAATTTCATTCTTGTAAAACCAGGTGTCTGCTATTTAATGACTGGTTTTCCACTTTTCACAGCGGAAGTGGACAGAGGGTTTCTCTTTGCCGGTTTTCTTCCACCATTTGTTTCCCAATTTCAGATCTTAAGGTATTTTTGAATCCTTTTGGTTTTAATCTATTAACCAAATTACTAGAAGCAGGAAGTTCCGTTGTTGCATTAAACTTACACTTTTATTGGGTTTGACCTAATTTTTTTTATTAGATTAGGAATTATGTTATGGAATACTATAATTGTAGGTTGTTTGTTCCTTTTTAATTTTCATGAACACAAACTAATGTTTTACTCTTTTTACAGGATGTTGTCACCTGAAACCATGGTGGGCCCCTTCAAACCCCAACCTCATCCGGGAACCAACATCTCCAAAGGTTAATTTCTTGAAACCAATTACATCAATATTTATCCAAATATATAGAAAGCAACTGATTAAATTACATGAATGGTCCCTGTGGTTTAGGGTAATTTGCGCGTTTGGTCCTTAACTTTTTTTTTAACTCGGAAGGTCGCTACTGTTTGTTTTTGTTACATGCTTGGTCCCTGTCTTACCTTAAAAAACTATTTTTCCCTTGATTTTTTAAAAATATTTAAATAAACACACCCCAACCCCCCCCCCCCCTCACCTTACCTTACCTATCCGACTATTTTTTTCTATTCAAATAATAGTCTTTTTAAGTAAGACAAGGACCAATAGCGTAATATAAACAAACAGTAGGGACTTTCCGAGTTAAAAATATAAGTTAGGGACCAACCGTGCAAATTACCCCAAACCATAGGGACCATTCGTGTAGTTTACTCAAAGCAATTTTGATAAGACTTGTTAGTTTTATATTCAAGAAAAAAGATTGCACTATTGCGTTGTGTTTTCAGTTTTTCCTTTATTAAAGTTTACTTCCAGAACTCTTATTTCTTACAACATTTTAATTTAGAAAAGTTTACCCATTACATTATTGATTATGTATGGCTTTTGACTTATGTTTTCTGGTACTAATCATCATGTTAGTGGGAGCATGATAATTATGATAAGTATTGCAAGTTATCAATGTTAATTATAGAAAATAAAGTTTCAATTCTTGAAGTTGCAGGGGTCGGAAAAGTTGTTTTGCTATAATTAAGGGAGAGGATATACTTCATTTCAATTCTAAATGCTTAGATTGAGATTTTAATCACCTTTAGTCAAGGATATATATATGAATTTTATGTTGGAATGGTTCAACATAAGAAAATTCTATATATTGCATTCTCAAAATTCGATTATGATTACAGCATCCCTCCTCATAGTCAAATTTTGAGAACATGGCAAATAAAAAATTTATAGCATGAATCGTGTCCCATAAGTTTCGAGTATAGGATCGATTACATGTGCTATAATATTTATCCTTTCTAAATTTTCCAAATGCCTGGGGCATTAAGAAGGGAAAAGGTCTAAAATTGGATACGACTAAAATGATTAAACAATTGTCGAGGACAATATAAGGTTTACCAAAGATTGGTTGCTCAGGGATAGTTGGAAGTATAGTGTTAATTTTGGAAGGACCATATTGACATATTCTGAAAAGAGGCAAATCTTGTTCAGAAGTGATAGTCAAAATGGGAATATGGAAATATTCTCATAGGTGGAAGTTATTCAATCTGTGTAAGATTAGAAAACTTAATGCAAGAAGGATGTTCAAAGCAATGTACTTTGAATGTGAGACTTTGTTTCCATAAAGTTGATCTCCATTGGAATACTCTGTAGTGTCTGGTGACAAGTCTTTGTGACTTTGGGCATAATCATTACAGAGGATCATTGCATATAAGTTTAGAATCTAACAGATTATAGTAAATGACAAGATTTTGGTATCCTTACATTTACAAAAAAAGGATTTGGATTATAAAACGAGCATCATTGGAGTCGTGTTCAATTGATCTATTTCATAAAAGAAAGGACCATAGGTAAACATAGTGTGCATGCTTGGTGCATGGCATGACTATTGTTTTAATTCAAGTATAAAGTTGATAAAATCGAAACAATGCATAATGAGTAATCAATATGGTGATTAGATAAAAGGGTTTTTATTTACACTCAAGAGTTTGGGGCCATATAGGATTAGTATTATTCTTGTGTTTTACTTTGCATGTTTTGATTTCCAGAATAACTAGGTCGTTCTTCCTGGATGACTAAGTTATCAAACCATCCACAGTCGGTCATATGCTGGAAGTAGATATGAATCAAGACTGTCATGAAGTTGGTTTGTAGGTAGTGGACATAGCAAAAGTTTCTGCAACATTCATGAGTGCTCATAAGTTATGAGTATTGGATTCAACCCATGCTCATTTGAATCACTTCATGGATTTTATCACGAGTGAATCATGAGATGATAATATCTTATATTCTTCAAACCTAGAGATATGAGTTGTTACTATGAGTTGGTTATACATTGATTGCACGAAAACGCATTGGTAATTCAATGTTATAAAACGTGCCTTTGTGTATGATTCAACAAGTAGTAGAACAAGCCATATGAGTCGAAGTTTATCCATTGCTTTTACCCTTAAAGGGATAAAAGCGGTATATGTGGGCCCCTCGATGATTTAATGATGACACTTGTGAGTGCTTGGCTAAGCCAGGACTGATTTGATTTGTTCAATCAGTCAGTTGTCATAAATCGAAAATCAGGAAACAACAAATGGACAGAGAGAATGATTATAATCCATGTCTCAGTCTATATGATATCTAGAATGGTGGAATGTATGATCCTTATCTAATGGGCTCGTCATTGGTTTATTCAGAGTTCGACATCGGCTTTAAGAGCTACGATTACTAGTCCGGTTATAAAGTCGTGTGACAACCGTCAAATTCTAGTCAATTCAAAGTCAAATAAAGTCAACAAGTCAAACCGGTCAGCTCAACGAACCCTTGTGTACTTGGACTTACGTTCAGTATTTACTAAACAACTCGCTATTCTGATAAGAAAACATAAATCGAAAAGTACGTGCAACTAGATCTCTTTAACCTAAAAGCTGCGGTAAGTGGCAAGCCAAACCGATAAAACAATGATGCTTACTCATCGGGAGTGTGTAAGATCCTTAAACAAGGCTTAACAGGGTTTACGAACCATGCATTGCGATGCCGGACACTCACAACTGTCCCACACGGAACCTCTCTCAATCGTTTTCACTCTATCTCTCTCTATGTCAAATCTCTCCCAAATCTCTCCAAGTATGTGAAATCTCTCTCTAATATCTCTCTGTATTAGAAATCTCTCCAAGAATGTCAAATCTCTCCCAAATCCCTCTAAGCATGTGAAATCTCTCTCAAATATCTCTCTGTATGAGAAATCTCTCCAAGAATGTCAAATCTCTCCCAAATCTCTCCAAGTATGTGAAACCTCTCTCAAATATCTTTTTGTGTGAGAAATCTCTCCAAGAATGTCAAATCTCTCCCAAATCTCTCCAAGTGTGAGAAATCTCTCCCAAATCTCTCTCAAAAGTTTCCCGTAACTTTTTGGAATCATTCGGGTCATTCCGGCCCTTAACCGGGTCAAAAACGGCTTAAAACGGGGCGAAAACGAGAAAAATAGGCTTTAGGAACCGAAACCAAGAGAGAAGCTTCTTAGGACCCGAAGGTCCTCTTAGGGACTGAGAGTAAGAGGAACCGAACCGAACCCTCCTGAGCCGAACCGAACCCTCCTGAGCCGAACCGAACCCGAAGGTACTGTTCACCACTAACCGAAACCGAACCCTGCTCAAGAGGAACCGAACCGAACCTCGCCCTGGAAGAACTGAACCGAAGGTAATGTTCACTACTGTTCACTACAGTTCGTTCGGTTCTGACCTTCTCGCCTTCTATCTCCGAACCGAGCCTCTGTTGGCTATGGGCGCGAGGACCGAGCCTCGGTTCTCAGTCACCTTATCTGTTCCGCCTCTCTGTCTCTTCCCTTCTCTCGCTCTGTCTCGCGCCTCTCTGTTCTCTCCTTCCCCCTCTCGGCTCCTTCCTTCCTCTTTTCTTCCCTCTCGGTTCTGCCTCCCTCTCTCTCTCGGTTCAGCACCAGAAGGCCGAGCCTCGGCCAGAATTCGCATTTTTGTCACTTTTAGCCCATTTTTTATATTTTTAACATTTTAAGCCCGTTTTTCGTGATTTTAAAGCGGGATTTTCTCCAGAAATTATATTTAAACATAATAAACTCTAAATATTCATAATTTAAACATATTTTGATGAAAATCATTATTTAAATAATAAAAATCAAATGGGTGAATTATTAAAGGTGGAGTGTTGACTTTGCCTTATCCAATGTCACAAGCAACCACCCCACACCCACTCTTTGACTAACCACACCTCCCCACCTTACCTAGGTCACATCAATGTCATTTCCACTCAATTTACACTCATTCCCACGTTTTTAGAGCTGGAACAAACATCCTCTCTCCTCATTTTCTCTCATTTGCCCTCATTTCACTAAGTATCAAACACCACTTTCTCTCAAACTTTTTCCACTCCAAACTCGAGATTCAAGGCTGATCTTCACATGTTCTTCCACTCTTAGTAAGTATAATTCATCCTCCTTATGATTATTTCACTTCATTCTACTCAAATCATGAATATCTTACACAAACTCCATCATATTAGCGTTAGAGCTTCGAATCTTCAAGTGATTCTTCAAGTGTTCTTGGGTTGAACACTTCTCTTCTTCAACACTTACCTACTGAAATCACTCAAGGTGAGTTCATACCCCTACATTTTCATGTTTTCTCAAGTTTACAGGGGGGGAATACAAGTTAAAACACTAAGAACATAATTAAATTTTTCTAACAGCCTTCATCAGAAAAGTTCAACTCCATTCACGGACTGTTTTGGGCATCTTAAACATTTTTGTTTTCAAAACTGTACAAGGTGAAAATAGTTCAAGTTTGTAGCTTTAAAATGACTACTTGCACATCTCCATACGATTTTTCTACAATTTATGGTGATTTTTACAAAACTACCTATCATTTCAAACAACAATCCGGACCAGTCTGTGATTATGGACATTTTCACCCAAGTTGGAGGTCATTAAAAATCGTGATAAAAATTATGAGTAAACTAGACACGTTTTGTGAACTCTCAGAATTTACGGATCTAGTTTTCGACTTCGTATGATTTTTCTATGATTTTTGCAAAAACGGGGCAGAATGGCTAAAGTTAGCCAACAACATGTAAATATCATAACACTTTGTATTATGTTGAGCAAAGTGTATAATCATAAGTTTTAATATTTGAATGTGTTTCCTTGTTAGTTTATCATTATGAACTGAAACTAAGACATTCATATTAAATATTATTCATTCATTTTGGAACACGTATTATTTAACTATAAAAAGTATAGTTTGAATATATTTATAACACTAATACATTTC